GCAAAGTATGAATATTCAGAATGTCTGTTTAGATCCCCAGCCCTTGTTCACTTTTATGTGAGAGAAAAAAAATCTTTCTTCCACCTTTTAAATTTTTAAAGAATTTTATTTGGGTATGTACTTTGAAGTTTTTCTTTCCTGTTTTTGGTGGGTAGGTGGGGTAGGCAGGGTTGCTAGGCAGTCCAAGCTGGCCTTGAACTTGCTATGCAGCCCAGGCTGGCCTCGAACACATAGCAACCCTGCCTCAGCCTCCCACATACTGGGATTACAGATGTGCACCACCATATCTGGCCCACCCAAAACATTTTTTAAATTGCTATTAATATTTAATAATGCTCCTTTAAGAAAATTTAGAAAGTGAAAGGAAGTAGGGAAAGGACTTACCAAACCAATGTATTCACTGCTAATATGACTTAATTTCCAGTTTCTCTTTTTCTTTATAAAATAATCTCCTCTGCAATCAGGCTAAGGGCAGCTTTATTACATGTGTATCTAGAACATACTATTTAAAATCTCCATTTTCACTCCATACCTCCACACTGCCATTTCCTTTTGGGATTCCAAGTGCACGTACAGTAGATTGCTTGATCTCTCCCCACGCTCCCCCAGGGCGTGCTTCTCTAGTAGTTTCTTCCCGCTTCCCATAGTTAATTCTGCAAAGTTCTGCTCCATCTTCACGTTCATTGATTTCTCCTGTAGTGCCTGGCCTGCTGCTCACCCTCCCTTGTGAGATTTCCATTTCAGAATATGCATTTTTTTAAATCTCTACATCTGTTTGGTTCCTTTAAAACAACTTTCTTATACTTTCCATTTCTCACCGTATCATTCCCCATAGAGCTAGCTTAGCCAGTGCACTGGTAAAGCCTGTTCCTCGGCAGTCCCTGCAGAATGTTCTGCAGTCAGCAAGGTCCTGCACTCTGGCTGGTGCAGCTCGAGCACTCGGCCCCTTCTCTTCCAGGGTGCTCCGCACCCAGCTGGTTTTGCTGGCTCTGCAGTTGCACCCTGAGTGTGCAGACCCCATCCCACAGGTCCAGTTTTGCTTGTGTGCTCAAATTCCATGCTGTCCCTCAGTGCGTTGGGCCCCCCAGCCCTGGAGACTCCTTGGATGCCCTGGAGGCCCAGTTGAAAGGGCCGTGTTTGTCACATTCTCCAGCTGTTTTTGCAAGAGGCAGAATTTCAGCCCCGCTATTCCCTCGTTGGTAGTCTCCAGTCTCCTTTCTCTGACCCAGCACAAGCTGATTTGGTTAAGTTTTAAATCCAGTATCATAGAGTAATTAGTCTGTTCCCTGAAGATATTTGTCACTTGTCTTTTTTTTTTTTTTTTTTCATACTAGGAATCAAACTCAGGACCTTGCCCTTGCCAGGCAGGCGCTGGGCCGCTGAGCTACATCCACAGCCCTGTCACTTGTCTTTTTCACGCCTTTAGAGTATTACAACGGGTTTTTGCTCTTTGACACAGGGTCTTGCCCAGCCTGACCTCAAACTCACAGCAACCCCCAGGGTCAGCCTCCCAAGTGCCATGGCCATTACAGATGCCCTGCTTTTGATGGTTGCTGGTGATTCTTCCATCTGGCAGCTTTGTGGGCTCATGTGTTCATGTGTCTGCTGTCTCTGCTGCCTCTCTCTTGACACCTGTCTGTATGTTTATTTTTATTCTCGTTATACATTTTTGTTACACATTTTTTTCAAAGCTACTCTAATTGAAAAATTACCCCAAAAAAGTACAGTGATGATAAAGCAATGAGCTCTGTTCAGGGCGGGGAGCAGGGGACAGGACAGTGTGGCGCCTGTGTGATCTCGTCCTCTGCAGCTCCAGGAGTGGATCTCTCAGGTGGTACAGGGCTCTCGGATCACTCAGGTCACAGAGAGCTGGAGCTGCCACCCCGCAGCCTAGACCTGGGCCCGCACTCACCTGCCTCGTCCTGGTGAGGTCGCTGGAAAACGCGTGTGTGAACAGCACATTTTTCAGAAAACTCCCCGCCGCAGCCGCCTGTTTGAACCCAGTCTCGGAAAGGGGCTCGTCCACGCCTTGTCCTGGGGCAAAACAATGACATTCAGAATAGCTCCTTGGGCTGCCATGGACCACCACGGACAGAAGGGGCGTCCATCCTCACTGTGGTGCAAGGTTTTCCAGAGTACTTTCTACCTACCTTTTGCAAAAGCTAAGTTAGCTGCTTCGAAATTAAGCTGTAATTCTGCAGAGGCTCACACATTCAAACATTTTCACAAAAGCTACTTGCCTGTAGGGATCAGGAGAGAATTCAGCCACCTGAGCTTCTTCCTCTTCTGTTTGCCCACTTCCTCCTCAGCTGTGTTTGATGAACACTGGCTCTGATCCCACAGGCACTGGGTCAGGGCTAGCTTCATTACCTAAAGCTTCCCCTCTGTCTCCACTGTCCAGATGCTGGCATTACTTCTCTTCTTCCTCCCCTCCCTCCTCCTTCCCTTTCCTTTAAAAACCCTGTCAAACGTCTACTTCCAGGAGAAAAGTGGATCAGACACTCTAAGGACTTCCTGCCGTGTGTTTTCACAGCCAGGCTCCATGATGTGGGGGAACTGGCTAAGGTGCAAAGAGAAGCCCCACAGACCCAACTACTTTGTGGGTATCACAGGAGCTGTGTTCTCGGTCTCTCTCTGGCGGGCCTGGGGTGGGGCAGTGTCGAGCTAAGCAGAAGCAAGGGGTCCTGTGGGGAGACTGAGGCAGGCTTGGGCCAGAGTGAAGTCACATGCAAAGCCTTCTCAGAGCACACCACTCTCCACAGAGGCCAGCGAGTTTCCCCCTAGTTTAGAGCAAATGATAGTTGAGGGGAAGATGGACACACACAAATCCCTCATGAGTGAAATCAGTAGAAAAAACACTTAGAACTATTAAGATTTTACAAATTAAAGCCAAAGCCACCAAATACAGACTGTAAAATAACTATGAATAAGACATAAAGGCAGACTCACAAAAATAAGCAATTAACAGGAAGCATCAGAAACAACCAGACAACTGAACCAAAGAAATAAGAACCAGAGCTGCCGAGATGGGAAAAGCCCTCTATAGATAAAGCATGGTGGCTACAGAATTCCCCTCAGTGACTGATGGCGAACCAAGGAAATAACAGAGCTATAATTCTCCAGTGTGGTTTTCCTGACGCCAGCTCTAGTCAGGAAGTCAGCTCTAGTTGATATCTTTTATTTCACTGGTTAATTCTGATGTGGGAAAAACCAACACTACACTTCAATGAGCTGTGCATAACTGTTCATCGTGGGGTGGTTCTTAACATAATAAGGTAAGTTGAACACTGCATACTATTCACACGGAACCAGTAGATTTCATCAGCACTGTAATGAGAATTCCTTTGTGGGTGGTAACTGTAGATGGAAAATCTGCTATATAGCTATTTTGCAAGTAATGTTGAGCTAGATGGAAAGATATTTGAATATAAAATAGCAAAGTATGAATATTCAGAATGTCTGTTTAGATCCTAAAAGTAGCAACATTGGGTCTTTCTGTCATTATTTCATTGCATAGTTCAAATTTTGAAAAATTTCTAATTATTTGATTTTAATTTATATAATCTGAAGCCATAAAACAATGAATATCAGCACTGTTTAATTTCTATCATACAGAACCCTTAAAATGTTTTTAATGTTTTATAAAATCAAAATTTAAATGACAATGATGAAATAAAGTTAAAGTTCTATGGTTTAAAAGAAAAAGCAGTTATAGAGAAAGAGAAATACCATGGAACACCATTTAATTGACAAGGCACTTCACCGTAAAAATAAAAGCCAAAAAAATAAAAATAAAAATAAAAACAAAGCTGGGCATGGTGGAGCTCGCCTATAATCCTAGCACTCGAGAGGCTGAGGCAGGAGGATCACCATGAGTTAAGCCTGCACTACACGGTAAGTTCAAGGCCAGCTTGAACTATTTATCATTGAGACCCTGTCCCAACAAACTAGTCTTTAGCCCAGAACTGTGACACTGACTGAGCTGATCTTTGCTGTCAGTCGACCTACACACAATAAGGACCTTTCAGAGAATACACTTCTAAAGTCTGAGATGCCAACAAAAAAGGACAAAAAATCTGGTAAGTGGGCATGTAAATCCAAACAATAAATGAAACCGATAATTGGTTTAAAAAGTGACTAAAGCACCAGACGATACACGCACAAGTCCCTCGCACCAGGGCAGGGCCACACTCAGTAGGTGTTGTCAGAGCGAACGCACCTGCCTCTCAGACCAGCAACTGAGACCCTGACCTCACGATGATGACACCAGGAGGCGTACAGACCTTGGGGTAGCACGAGGGTCTTCACAAGGAAAGATGCCTCCCGCTCTCTGTTCTTTGCCTGGGTGGACACGACCAGAGGCAGCAGCATGCACTGCGCAGGCTGGGGCACCTGGCCTCAGGCTGCACCCTCTACAGCTGTGAGCACTTGGCAGTGTCCACACCGCCCATCTACAGGGACAAGTTACAGCATCCCAAACCAACTAAGGTACGAACAGCACAAATACAAAGGTAATCATGGGGTGCACACCTCTAACCCCTGCCACTGGGAGGCTGAAGCAGCAGGATCACCCCAACTTCAAGGACAGCCTGGGCTACGTAGTGACTTCAGGGCCAGCATGGACTACATAGTAAGACCTTGTCTCAAAAAAGGAAAAAGAAATAAAGGCATGTAAGAATAGAGGAAGACTAGAAAGAGAAAGGGAGAGGATGAAAAAGTCCACACACCAGTAACCAGAATAAAGGTCAAAGGTCTATTGCCTGCTAAGACTGCATTTAAAAAAAAAAAAAAAGAACTAAGCGTCCAACTTACAAAGTCAGAAAATGAATACAAAGCAAACTTAAAAGGCTGGGGATGCAGCTCAGAGGCACAGCACCTGCCTGGCAAGCGCAAGGCCCTGAGTTCTATTCCCAGTTCCCAGAAAAACTTAAAAATGAATGTGAGGCAACCCACTCTGGACCCCTCCTATCTCTCAGGAGCTACTCCTATTCCCCATTTTTATTGCCCAATAAATTTTCCTACTTAAAAAAACGAATGTGAACACAAAAACATGTATTCACATCCCACGGTCAGCTTCTAATGAAATAAGACAAACACTGGCAGACCAGTGGGGGGACCTGAGTGTGAAGAGCAGCTTGGTGGCCTCATGTGACTTGAAAGCAACAGCCACAGAAGCCGAAGACCAGGTCGGCTGAGACCCAGGAGGCAGGCACACTGGGAACAAAGACCAGCACCTGCCAGGCCCACAAATCCCCACCCCAAAACATTAAACTAAACACTTCCATAATCACAGCACGAAAATAGCAAGTCCAGCTGAAAGTTCACCCAAGGTATTCTTAAAAAGCCAGCCCAGCTGGATCCCAGAACAAGCAAAGGGTCTGGGTGCACATCAACAGCCAAGGCAGGGAGACGGGTCCTCAGGGAGGGCCGGAGTGCGCTCTTTAACCTCTTCTCTGTGGCCACTAAAATCAAATCAGTATCTCAGCAGAAAAACATTGCTAACAATATCCAGTAAGCTTTTTTTTTTAATGATGAAATCATTTTAAACCTAGACTGTCACAGTTTAAGACACTAAGACCAGTAAAGCTCTTGAACCCCCTGATCCAGCCACTTTGAGAGCAGGTGTGAAGAAGAAGCTGGAGGACCGCTCTTTCCATTGAGCTCAGCTCAGAGACAGACTCCTCCCCATTGTAACCGCTCTCATCACAGCCCACGGTGGTCACGAGACTGTAATTCTGTACCAGCACAGTTCAACCTCAATACCACGCAGTCCCCAGTCCACCCTACCGCACCAGACAGTGCACCAGCACGTTAACACCAGGCTAGAAAGCTAACGCAGCAATCAGGTTATACTGACCTTGAAGTATTTTCTCCTTGTTAAGTCTCGTTTCTCCACTAAAATAAAGAGGGGAAAAAATTTTATTATCATATCATGTTACTTTAGAGAGGAGGAAAAACATCAGCAATGAAGATGTAAGCCTTGTAACATACCTCACAATCTAACCCATAAAAATATAATTTACTCTGAACTAAATACTTCAATCATCTGTTCTGATGATGAACTCAAACCTTCAAACTGCCTCAAAATAAAATGTACATATATAAAGAATCCATCTTAAATGAACTGCAAGAGAAAAGTGCTATTAAGAGTATATATAAAACACATTGTTTTTGTTAGCCTTGTTAAAATAAATGTATTGATCAAAACTACTTTCACAGTAGGCAGGACCAAAATATGAAAGTCCTGCAGTGAACTGAGTGAGCAAGGGAAGGACCACTGGGATACAACGGGAAAGAAGTCCAGACCTCCGCAGAGCCTGCCCTCTCCCGTGCCCTAGAGGACCAACGGTGAACTTTGAGACCGAGCAGCCACACTGCAACCCCAAACACTTCTTTATCACAAAGTGCCATGCAATGAAACCTGAATATTGAGGTTTTAGTTTAGAAAAAGCAACTGATGCTCAGCTGCTGGGGCGATATCACTTGCGTGCTGATGGGGGGATCCCTGTGCCCCCTGCGGCACGCGTGCCACAGGTTGCTGCCACCGCCCTACATCTTGGTGGCCGGTTACCTTTTGTAGTACAGAGAACTGCTCTGCAGACCACTGTACGTGGAGATGAGGCATGCACATTGTACTTTTTAGGAACGAAAATCCGAAACAAACTCAAGCATTCTTGAAGCAACCAGAAGGGTGAGAGGACTGGAAATTCAATCACAAGACAACTGGATCAACAAGGCAGGCTAGAAGGAGGTGGAGAGCTAAGACCAATGACAGCGGGGCAGACCTACAGCAAAGGAATCTCCAAGCACGGGAAGAGCTACAGGGTCTGAGTTTTAGTTAGTGCCTGCTGGCCCGCACAAAAGGACGCCTGTCTAGCACAGGAAGCGCTAGGCATACACAGCGTGGACATACTCCGCATTACCAGACAAAGCCGAAGTGGCTACACAGCATCCACCACCGGCAGCACAGTGCCCTATCCCCACCGACACTCGGTCTCAAGAGGGTGTTCACATCCTCCAGTCTGCCAGCTGAACGGCTCACTTCACTTTGACATGGGTTTGCCATTTCCTTGGTTACTAAGGATGACTGCTCCTTTGTTTTTAAGTACAGCAAGAGTTTAAAATCAGGCCCTAAAAAAGTCAGAATCACAAACTGGAGTCTCCCTAGAATCCTGCCCCTTGTTTATATTATACAAACACTTGCTTGCCAGTCCCTGCCTAGAGCAGCGATAGTGAACTTTTCAATTAACAAATACCTGGCTGGAGCTCAGTGCCACAGGTTCGCCACCACTGGCCTAGGGCCATGGATCTCACCAAGACCAAGACCATGACACACGGCTAGTCCAAGTCGGTTCTGTGCGACCCCACCGAACCCGTCCATCTACCCAGTCCTCCTTCCCCCGCACCACCGCCACCCACCCCACTTAAGAATCCCAGCTCTGTGCTCCCCTTTTTCCTGACACTGCCAATCTAGCTGATCATCTGTGCGCTGGCTTTGTGTTGTGGCTTCATTTCTTTCAAGTTCCTCCAAGGCACACAGGATCTTGAACCACTGCAGGACATCCGGTGCCTAGAGAACATCCCGAGACACACTAAGAATCTCAGTGAGTGTCCCCTGCCTAGAGGGTCACCTCAATTACCCACTGAAGGACAAATCCTTCACCCTTTTATCCAGGGCCCCCCGCTGCTGGGAATACATGCATTAACTCACATTTAGATGAATACTTGCCACTGTATTTCTTTTTTAAATTTTTTATTAGGACATGTTTGCAGTACATAATGCTTACATTCCTTGCTGGGAGTTGGTACATGTACATACACAACTTAATTTCTTCTGTCTCATAATCCCCCCCAACACACTTTATTTTCTTTTTTGGTTTTTGTGCATTTTGTAGTTCAGGCTGGCCTTGGACTCACTATGTAAGCCAAGCTAGCTCCAACTTGCAGCAATCCTCTTGCCTCAGCCTTCCAAGTGCTGGGATTACAGGCATGCAAGCCACCAAACCTGGCTCAATCTCCTTCCACTTGAGAAAGATCTATCTCCCTACTTCCTATATCTATCTGTTATGCTGCTCTTTATCTATACTTTGGGTTTATCATATAAGAGAAACCATGAGACATTTAAGCTTGTGTGCCTGATTTATTTCACATCATGGTCTCAATGTATATCCATGTTCCTAAAAATGACTCAAGTTTATCCTTTTTTTTGTTACAGTAGTACTCCACTATGTGTAAATCATCCATTTTCCTAAAAATGACTCTAGTTTCCTTTTTTTGTTAGAGTAGTACTCCACTATGTGGAAAAACCACATAAACATTCTCTTTATCCATTCATCTGCTGGTGGACATATAGGCTGTTTCCAAGATTTAGCTATTATGAACTGTGCTGCTATAAACACAGATAAGAATGTTTCAATGTTTCAGGGCAATGTAGTATGTCTTTACCTCTTTGGGGAAGATACCTAGAAAGGGAATAGCTGATACTGCAATACTATTTGCAACAGCAAACAATCCAAGAATTCTAACAGGAACTGGTTGGAATAGCTACATTAAAAAAAACATTATCTGCCAGGTATGGTGGTGCACACCTGTAATCCGAGCACTCAGGAGGGGAGGCTGAGGTAGGAGGATCACCTTGACTTTGGGGACAGCCTGGGCTACATAGTGAGATGCTGCCTCAAAACAACAACTTGCTGAGCGTGGTTGTGCCCGCCTGTAATCCCAGCACATAGGAGGCTGAGGCAGGAGAATCTCGTTGTGAGTTCGAGGCCACCCTGGACTACAAAATGAATTCAAGGCCAGCCTGAACTGCATAGTGAGACCCAGTCTCAAAAGACAAAATAAATAAATAAATAAATCATTATCTACCCAGTGGGATACTATGTAGTGATGTCATTTAAAATGAGAAACTAAGTATAGATGTGGGAAAGTCACCTAGTTATATAATTAGGTAGAAAAGGCAAGGTGTAGAATATATAAAGAGACTACTGCCTACTTAGAAAGGAAGGCAATAATTAATATTTGGATTTGCAAAAGAAACACTGGCAGAGTACCTATGAAAGTAATACACATGGTCACCTATGGGCATGTGCAGAACAGGGAAAATTGCTTTGGTTTTAAATCTGTGGCTATATTAGTCTAAAAATAAATATATTACAAATAAATGAATTATTATACACAAAACCATTTATACCTCGGCAGAATCCACTGATTCACCCTGATTCACTGTATCATCACGGATTCACCCTGTTATCACTGCTGTTAACATTTTTTTTTTTTTTTTTGGTTTTTCTCCGGTATCGGGAACCGAACTCACGACCTTGCGCTTGCTAGGCAGGCGCTTTTGCCGCTGAGCTAAATCCCCAGCCCCCACTGCTGTTAACATTAATAAAAGATTTCCCGAACCCTAAAACCAATTCAGAATCTGAAGAAATGGATGCAAAAAGGGGGTATTAACCTCTGCTCATCACTTAGATGAACAGCAGAATCCAGGACAAGGATAGGGAACCATCACATCTACACTAAGAAAGGTGACCACATACTGGATTCACTTCCTGTCTCAGCCTCATAACCTGGCTAAGATCAAGAATAAAAGAACTGCTATTTAAATACAAGTAACATCCTCTACAGGTAGCAACTTTGTAGCCACTTCAACTTCCAGCAAAAGCCAAAGAAGCATCCTCATTTGGTAAATTTCAAGTGAAGAGTGAGGAGAACCTTAACAATTCTGCCACCCAAACAATGCAAGAGCTACCAAAAAGTTTAGGTCTTTACAAATCACAAATTCAGCACACATGCTGACTTTCTGGATACTTACTAAAAAGATCAGCTCAGGATTTTAATTTAATCGCAATAGCTGATTTGATGAAAGGCTCTGATTAAAAATATTATATTGTGAAAATGTCATTTTATTAAAAAAAAATGGAATCCCAGTAATCTGATAGTTTTATAAAGGCACTGTCCCACCATCTAACAATTTTTCAGCAAAGGAAAAAATAGCTGTGATACAGTAAAAGATTTCTTTTAGCTATAAATCAATGGACACTACTGCAGATATAACAGTATTATTAATTATGACCAGCATCTGCTTTTAGCTTCTACTAGGTATTTTTCTCTTCAAACCACTTTATAAATATTACAAAGTAAGAATCCAAAAATAGATTTTTTCCTAAAAACTTTTACAAATATTTAGTTGTACAGCTTTTATCAGCTTTATCAAGAGGTTTATATAAACCCTGGGACACAATGTTTAAAATTAGTTTGGGGAGAGGGAAAGGAAAATAACTAAAATAGTGTTACTATTAACCTAAGTACTTTCATTAAAGTTTGACTGTGACAGCCACAGAGAAGGCAAAAGGAACTGAAAGGTCAGAGGGATATATTTTAAAAGAGTCAGGAATAACACCACTCACTTTCAAAATCTGCAGTGATCCATTTCCAAAACAGAACACTCAGCCCTGCAGGAATCCAAATGCTTGTGCCAAGAAGTGAAGTCTTATGACCTGCCATTTATAGGCCCTACAAATATGCATCATTCATTTTGCATGTTATCACAGTGCTCTTCACTGAGAGACAGATTATCTCATCAGTCCAGATGTATATTCTATGGCATCTCTTTAGAAATCTTACAAAAAGTTCAATTTCCCTATTTTGTCCTTTTAAGGACAAAATTCAACAGACAATACTCAGTTTGCCACAAGAGAGACAAATCATGGGAATTAGTATAGATTTGGGGCATGCTTTTGGGATAAATTTTAGCACACATGAAAATGTAAAATGTCTGATATTCTGTCATAAATACAGCTTAATCATCATTCTTTCACACCAATTAATTCATTTACAAATACAGAAGATTTAAAAGGTAGTACCACAAAACTTTCACTATATGGTCTGAGGGGAGAAGAATTTGTAAGATACCCAACTCATGATATTTTTTTAAATAGAGATTAGTCCTGGTTGCAAACCCTCACCCAACTGATCATCACACTACCCAGAAAACATTACAGTACAATAACAAGCACATATTTTTATAAATATATTAAATTACAGATGATCAAACATAATTTTCCTCCCTTTATTTCTGTCCAGACCAATGATTAGCACTCAACAAAAAGCAAGTAACTGCTGACAGAGGTAGAATAAGAAAAACCAATCAGTTTTACTATCAATAACTTTATTAATTCATCATCTTTAAGTCATTAAAAGTAAATTAAATTTAGTATATAAATTTTTTTTAAGTTTTAAGAGTTGGTTAATGGACATGAAATTTAATGGTTTTACAAGTGACTGACAGCAAACACAAATACTATTTCAAGGGAACAGCGCTTTCAGTGGTGGTATGCCAGGGATGTAATGCCAAATTATGTATGTTGGAGTTTTCAACAATGTTGTGCTGTCTTGTGAAATTAGTTTAATAATAATGACAGATTTAAACTTTGGAATCGCAGGCACCCTATTCCAAATGCAGGCATTAGTACTTTCACCTCAAATGTGATGAAAGACAATCACACACAGTAAGAGCACAGAATTAAAATATGATTTTGTTAGACTGAAAGAAATTGCTTTAAAATTTTCTTACATTGGGGCTGGGGATTTAGCTCAGCGGCACAGCACCTGTCTGGCAAGCGCAAGGTCATGAGTTCGATTCCCAGTACCAGAAAGAAAACAAACAAATAAAATTCTTCTTACATTACAAAAAAGAGAAAGCAGATTTTTTCTGCATTATCTGAAGGGGTAAAATTCAATAAAATTATCCAACTCTTCAGTAAGCCATTCTATTTAATTAGGACTACCAATCAGAGTTGAAATAATTTCTCTTCCTGAAAGAATCACCAAGGCCAGATGTGGTGGCACATGCACATCTGTAATCCCAGAGCTTGGGCGGCTGAGGCAGGAAGATTGCTGTGAGTTGGAGGCCAGCTGGGACCACAAAGTGAGTTCAAGGCCAGCCTGAACTGCATGGTGAAACCCTGTCTCAAAAAGACAAAAGGACAAAAGGACAAAAGGAAAAAAGGAAGAGAGGAAGAGAGAAAGAGAGAAAGAAAAAGAATGACCAGGTTTTTAGCTCTTAGAACACAGAAGGCAAGAAGAGAGATGGAATGGCCAGATGGTAAAGCAGCTAATCACAGCCTTATCAATTATTTTGAAACATTCTCTTCATTTTCCTGCGTATAAAACAGGAATCTCTTGGCATTCTCTATCAGCCTCAAAGACTCCTGGTGACATTCAAGAAATTTACAGATACCAGGTTTTAACAACAAAAAAAAGAGGCAGAAGATATGGTTAATAGCTTTGGTTCTAATCCTATTTACCCAACTTGCTGGATGACCGTAAGCAAGTTACACTGTTTCCTCACTTGCAAATTGAGGATGTCAGCCCCTACCAATGGACGGCTGTCAGAGTTTGATTATACCAGTCCCTGGCACATAATAATTTAATAAGAGCTATTTTTAAAATGATTCCTATGACAGCCTCCAAAATCAAGCCCTTTTCAAACAGTAGGGATGTAATAAAACCTACATTCATGTAACCACTGTCTATTAAGAACCTAAATAGGGCCAGGCATGGCGGCGCACACCTGTAATCCCAGCACTCAAGAGGCTGAGGCAGGAGGATCTCAGCAAATTCAAAACCAGTTTAGGTTCTGGGCGTGGTGACACACATCTGCAATCCCAGCACTCAGGAGGCGGAGGTTGGGGGTTGGCTGAGCCGGGAGGATCACTGCAAGTTGAGACCAGCCTGGGCTACAAAGTCAGCTCAAGGCCAGCCCGAACTGCACAGCCAGACCTTGCCTCAAAAAACAAAAAAAACAAAAAAAACAAAAAACAAAAAACAAACAAACAAACAAAAAAAACCCCACAATGCTGAGATGCAGAATGCAGAGGCCCTGAGTTCAATTCCCACATCCACCAGCAAAAAAATAAAAGAACAGGCCAAAAAGGTTGTTAAAGTAAGCTTGACAAGGTTAAATCACAGTTCCTTGCGAGTTCGAAGGCAAAGACGGTTATCTTATATTTTAACCTGTGTAACTCAGTGCACTAGCAAATAGACCTACTCACAATGCTGGTCTGATAAACTAGTTGAGAACCAACAGCACTTTATTAGAGCTGTCCGTACAAGACTGTCTTAAAATACTTCTCCCCTTCTGTTAATGCCCTACACTTTATCTTTGGCCGTAATTCTCAGAGTAGCCCAGGCAAGTAAGTACCATCACCTTGCCCCGTGCTGCGTATCAGGAAACTGGTCCGAGAGATTAGCTCCATGCTGGGAGGCACAGTCCACATGGCTGTTCTCCGGCGCCCAGATTCCCACCCGGGTCGCTTTACTTGAAAAACCTCTGCGCTCGACCGCACTGAACTTCCCCTCCCCTTCACACCTGAGGAGGCAGCAGGCCGGGGGACGTGGAGACAGACTTAGCTGCAGCATTCTGTTCTGCTAGAAGCACTCGGTGAGCCGAGAGGAAGCTGCGGCCCTCCCTGCCCTCTCAGAACTGCATTCTTTTCTGGAAGGCGAGGAAATAGACCTCAAAAGTGGGCCCTGAGCGCACAGGGGAGAATCAAGGAGAGCGTCAAGGGAGGGCAGCGCCACGCAGCTAGGAGCCGCAACCTCCGCCGACGAGGAGCAACTCCTCACACTTGGAGATCTGCGGGCAGCAGAGAGGGGCACGGATCTGGCGTGACCCATGATCCCCACAGCCGTGCCCCCGCGTGGGAAACCGGCCTGCCGGGTGCAGGCTGCTGGGGTCCGAGGAGGGTCGCGCACCGTACCCGCAGCCCCTTCGCTCAAGAGGCGCCAGCGAGGCACCCGCGCCAGCAATACTCACTGCCGGACCACGGTGAGGGCGAAGCGCGTCATGTCCGAGCAGCCGTGGGAGGCTGGGCGCCGCTGGACTGGGAACACAGCACACAGCCCGGCGTTCTGCACCGTTGCTACCTCCCCGCTCCACTTCCGCCACAGGGACCGGCGCTGCAGCTATAGGGCCAGGCTGCCTTTTGCGTCATCCCAGGACGGCCAACCACAACGGTGGGAGGCCGGCAAGTCCGAGGACATTGGAGGACGCCGAAGCCCCGCCCCAGGCTGTGGAGCGTGCGCTCGTGCGCGCTGGCCGGTGATTGGTGGCATGGTAGGCGCGCGCAGGCCGGGTCCTCAGACGAGTCTTGTAACCCGGGCAAGGGTGCAGCCTCTGCTAGGATTTAGATAAGAGCAATCTGAACCTTGGGTGATCTGATTTGAGACTGGATTGCAGCCGTACAGCGGGCCAATGATAAATGTCTTCCTCAAAGGCTTCAGAACCAAACAGGTGGCATCCTTTGTGGGTTAGCTGTTAATCTTTGGCTTTGAAGAAGAAAGGTCCTCAGTGTTTGCAGACTTAGACCCATCGGTTTCATTCCCTACTCCTCCTTGGCCAAAGTTTACTCAGGCCTCATTTTGCCCCCAGTTTGAGTGGACTTTGCATCCCAGTTTTACCAGAGAATCCTGCTGAACCAGTGAGTGAAGATTGTCTCACCCTTGATACGCAGTCAACTTCCTCTTCACCTTACCTGGATACCAAGTTCCCATTAGTAATTTTCCATCTGCCTGATCCTTTCTGCTCCAGCCTATAAATCTAGGCTGGTCCCTGTGGAGTTCAAATCGAATTCATTCTCTATTGCACTGGCCCTAATAAAGAAAGTCTTCTTGGCCTTTTAAAATAAGTACCAAGGGGCTGGGGATTTAGCTCAGCGACACAGGGCCTGCCTGGCAAGCGTGAAGTCTTGAGTTCAATTCCCGGTACTGGAAAAAAAAAAAACCAAAAAAAAATTTAAAATTAAAAATTAAAATAAGTATCAGGTGAAGAACTTCTACTTAACTGTCTTTAAGCCTTGAATGACTGAGCCTCTGTAGCCCTCAGTCCTGTGATAAGTAAGCTGGGATCACACCAGCCGTGACAGCGTTAAATTCAACCTTATCTACAAGGTGACATCGTCTTCCGTGCATTTTTACCTAAATTCTCATGTTCAGTGACACATCCGTTTCAGTGGAGTTCCAACTGCGTTTGAGAACACAATTAAGGAAGAGCTGTTGAGAGACTCAGGCACACATTTCACACATTTTCTTGCTGTATTGTCACTTTGTGCCTTATAACAATTCCGAGGTGGACAGCAAAGGAAGGCTGTATTAATTTCACCTAAGAGATAAGAAGTCTGACCTGTAGAAAACCAAAGCACAAGTGAGTTCACATGGCTGTTCAGTGGTGACACAAACAGTTAATTTTGTACAAACCAAGCTGTGGCCTCACGGTGTGGAGGAAAAAAGTCACAAACCGAAAGGAAGAGATTAGGAGAGTTTTAGTAGAAGTAAGGAGAAGCACAAAGGGTGCTGGTTTCTCCAGCAGAGGGATCTGAAAAGTCAGATTTCCCCTTGGCTCTGGGTCCAGCATATTTCATGGATAAGTAAATCATGGGAATTGCTCAGTTGTTTAGCAGCCACTTTTCACAGGTGGCTCTGTGAATTTAAAACAACCAATTGGAACTCAGACTCTCTAACCCAGTTACCTAACATGTAGGTTTAAAATGAAACTGTAATACCAGCACTTGGGAGCTGAGGCAGGAGGATCATTGTGAGTTCAAGGACAGCCTGGGCTACACAGTGAGCTCAAGTCCAGCCTGAACTGCATAGCAACACCCTGTCTCAGACAAAAAAATAAAACTAAAAAATAAAGGAAACAGATTTTAAAGAAAAACTTGTTATTTTGCATATTAAATTCCTCAAAATGCAGGAACTTAGTAAGGAGGGGCTGCATTCCATGTACCCTGAGGGAATTTATGCTTGGTTCTAAGTCCTATTTTGCTGTCTGTCCTTATTTTAATTCTGTTTTTTCTTTCGTTTTTGAGAAAGGGTCTCGCTATGTAGTTCAGGCTGGCCTCGAGCTCGCTGTGTAGCCCAGGCTGGCCTCAAACTTGAACAATCCTCCTGCCTCAGCCCAAGTGCTGAGATTACAGGTGTGAGCCACCACACCCGTTTTAATTCTTACCTTTATGGCTGGTCACCAACCACTCAGACCCTCCCCTTAGCTGACTGCCTTACTCATAAACTCACTAAATAAACTATTTTCTACAATGAGACTACTTCACAGGTCCTCAACCTGTGTGCTCATTGGAACCATCTAGGCACATTTGATGAGTGCCAGGTTGAAACCCTTGCCCCTGAACTAACTCTGAACGTCTAGGGGCGAAGGCAACACATCAGTATGTTTAAAATCGCCAACTGCTCCCAGTCTTGAAAGCTATCTGTTCAAAGCAGTGTTTCTCAGGCTTGAACATGCATGCAAATCACTCAGAGATTTTGGTAAAGTGCAGGTTCTAGATTTAGTAGATCTGGGATGGGGATCAAATCCAGCATTCTTTTTTTCTCTCTCTGTCTTTGAGATAGGGATCTCGCTACGCAGTTCAGGCTGGCCTTGAGCTCCCTTTGTAGTCCAGGTTGACTTCAAACTCACAACGATCCTCCTGCCTCAGCCTTCTGAGTGCTGGGATTACAGGCGTGTGCCACCACGCCTGCCTATGTGGAATAAATCACACATGTAGAGAATAAGTTGACATAATGTGAAAGGATTATCCTTTTAGGAAAAATTTATAAAACCATCCAGCAATATTAAATGTTAAATTTATCCAAGAAATGTGTATTTTAAAAAGTCTTTATAAACTCTAGGGATCAGGAAAAAAACAGGTTGAGAAATGAGGCATCTTTGAAATGATGAACATTATCCTTCATTATTCATACACTTCAGGGCTCAGCATTCAGCTTATAAAATAAACAAAAAATTCACTTAAACTTTAGATAAAGGCAAGAAATACCACTAGTATACTTTTTTGACAACTGATCAAATCCCATATACCATTTTATAATAGAATTCTGAGTTTGTCAGGATCAGCCAAGTTCTGCTGAGCCTCTGGCTTTCTAACAGAACACAGACTTTCAGTGTGGGTGTGCAGGTGCCCACGGGAAACTGAAGGCGGAATGAAGCTTGGCAAATCTGCTTTTATTTTATTACCTTAAACCTTTGGGTCAGATCTTGGCTCTGCAGCTTGTGCATTAATCACTTAAGGAATGTTGGTGTAAAAACTGGTAATACAAGGTTTACTCACCCTTCACTTACCTAATGTATTTCTTCCCCCTCCGACAATGAGGACAGGAGGATAAGAGCAGCAGAGGCATTTTCAAGATTTGTGGGGGACATTCACTTGCCAGCTTATGCAAGCCTGAGTTCCAGACCTGGTGGAGAGGTGCCTACAGGCCAGGGTGTGACCTGAAAGAGTGGGTTTTTTTGAAACAGGGTCTCACTGTGTAGTCCAGGCTGGCCTCAAACTCACAGTCAGACAGGTGGCATCCTTTGTGGGTTAGCTGTTAATCTTTGGCTTTGAAGAAGAAAGGTCCTCAGTGTTTGCAGACTTAGACCCATCGGTTTCATTACCTACTCCTCCTTGGCCAAAGTTTACTCAGGCCTCATTTTGCCCCCAGCTTGAGTGGACTTTACATCCCAGTTTTACCAGAGAATCCTGCTGAACCAGTGAGTGAAGAATTGTCTCACCCTTGATACACAGTCAACCTCCTCTTCACCTTACCCAGATACCAAGTTCCCATTAGTAATTTTCCATCTGCCTGATCCTTTCTGCCCCAACCTAGATCATGAGTTTGTGATACTATCTTAGTCCACTGTTTGGTTTAGCATAGTTCTGGATATGGAGGAAAGATTTACTGAAGAAGGAAGACTACCATGGGTGTAGGTAACACCAACCAATGGGCTTATGGCCTGCATGGAATAAAAAGAGAAAAAAGGAAGGATTGCTGCTTCCTCCCTGCCCTGCCATGAACTATTTCTCCTCTGTGGTGCCCCTCTACAGTGCCACCCTGTCTTTGAGTCAGCCAACTATGGACTGAAACCTCTACAAACTGTGAGCTAAAATGGACCTTTCCTCATTTAGCATGTGTGTCAGGTATTTTGTCCCAGCAAGAAGAACGCAACTAAGACACTTACTTTCTTTACAGGCTCAGTAGCTGTCTCTCTCCACTAGAATCCAAGGAGTCAAAGACTACCTTGACCTTTTCTGTGCCTTCAATACCTATAATTGTGCCAGATTGCTGTTGATCAAGCAATATTTTTATCATTTGAATTCATGTTCCTAAAATCTATTTCATGATATATAGCATTCCCCTGATATATGATTAAATAAAAAGATAGAGATGTAGAGCTTCCTGGGGGTGACATTCAGCCAGTGGTTGGGGTGACAGCCCTTCTACCCTAGAACCATGGCCCAGTTGGTCCATAGCCTTGTGGAGAAGGCCCCGACGCTGGTGGATGCTGCCGTGTTTTATTCAAAGCCTCTACTGGCCACATGTTGGCACTATGCCAAGGTCAAGCTGGTTCCTCCAGTCCCTTCTTAGATCCCTGAAGCTATTCAGAGCCTGAAAAAAAAGTCAGTAGTGCTCAGACTGATAGCTTCAAACAGCTCACAGTTAAGGAAGCTGTGCTGAACGGCTTGGTGGCCACTGAAGTGTGGATGTGCTTTCATATCAGAGAGATCATAGGCAAGTGTGGCATTGTCGGCTATAATGTTTGAATGTCTTTAACATCTGATTATATTTGATTTAATATTTGACTATTCTGGGATCACATGTGATCAGAATATCTGCTATCTGA